TAAATAAATACGTGTTATTCATTCGAGGAAATTAAATTTGTGACTTTTTATAATTTAATCGTACAACGAATTTTTACCTCACTGTATTGTTAATTTTTAGACGGCAGAAATATCATTAGCGGTTAGATTATGGCTGCTGACAAGGCACCAACATGATCAATAATTCAATAATTATTGGAAATAATTACATTATTTGGAATCAATCGGAATTTTTTGGACATTCGCAAATTTACTTACTTAATCTGTGTCTGTATTAAAAATAAATTGGTCAACAAAGTGCAAACAATTCGCACTCTGTAAAAATTAACTAAATTGCTGATAAAAAAAATGTGTTCATATTAAAACATTGTTTTTTCTAAACAAAACTTTGTAGTAGGTATTAGAACAAATTATTACTAATTTTAGGAATGAAAACATCCGGTTGGGTGTGTATGACAAACATATAACAACTAAATGTATTAAAACTGATAGGTACAATTTTTGTCTAAAGATTTATTATTTAGTTATTATTCATTTATCTTATGAAGCTTCTTTGAAGTGTATTTTTTTACGCAATAATTCTCTTTTCCGAAAAACTGCAGCACTAACTGTCACTCACGCAAACTTACTCGCCCATGTAAAAGTTGCTTCAGTAATGTGTATTTAACAACCAAATGGAAAACGCCTGGTTCTTTCCTATAGGTAAATGTGGAGACAATATGGCGGTCCTACATAACGTTATGACATGATTAATAGGGATTATATATAAATTAAAAGTGTAAACAAAGTGTAATTTGGAAAAAAATAATTTACGAGAAACAGTAGTTGACGTGCAGGAAAGTCGTTTCCTATAATACAGTAAATTAAAAATTAAGATTAGCATAATCTGCCGGTTTATCTGGAAAAATATTGCAATGAAACATTAGCATACGTGTTAAACATATTCAGTTATAATAATAAACCATAACCCCATTACTTACACGTAATTTTATAATTTAAAAATTATAGTAGTATTTGCTTTATATTCTATAAGAAAGCTCTATTTCTGAGTTCAATTATCTTGTATTTTTTTTGTTTTGGAAAAGTTTGATCTAGTTTTAATTAATCGAATTACTTAGAACTATTTGTCTAGTTTCATTATAAAATAAATAATAAAGAAATAAATAAGCTTCAATGACTGTGATTACACTACTGATTAATTGATTTAGATAGGCATAGACATTTTCCGAGTCAATTTTTTTTTTAATGACCCACGTTTCACTCTTTTTGTGGTTTCAGTCGGATGAACGAAATTTATTCCTTAGTAGGTATGGATCAGTAGTATTTTTGATTCGATTTCGATCAAACTGTACTCATTTTCTTTTGCGAAAAAAGTAAAAACAAATTTTGGAAGATTAACTTCCGTCAAAAGCTATATTTGTAAAATTATAAATAAAATACTTTCTTCTATATTCTGACATACTTTTTTTAACATCTATAACAGTAGGTAGGACCCCGTTTATAGAAAGCAAAATTAAAGTTAATTCGCGATTAATTTTTAATTGATGTCCATTGCTAAGCAACGTGCATATTTTAACCAATCACGAGCACATTTTAATCCTGTATTAAATTAATCAAGTATTAAATATTTAATTCGCTTTTCTATAAACCAGTCCTAGATATTTTATAGAAATATATTTCTGTTTTAAAAACTTATAAAACAAGCATATTAACAGCTACTTGACATAAAAATGAATAATGTACAACTTCTCAAATAAATAATTTAGACAGAAAAAAAATTAAAGACCAAAGTTGCACGTTTTTTTGAGCAGCCTATCGCATGCATTTACATGCTCCCATTCCTAGACTTTATAACGATTGTTTATTATTGAAATTCCGATGCGTTGTTGCCACGTTATTCAAATTTCCTTACGCGCTTAGTGACTCATCCTGTATACCTAAATAACATTATTAGCTCCAAAAACAAGATCGAACAAAGAGGAGAAATACCCGTAATCCAAGAAGTGAAAACTGACACTGACATTTTTGACCCGACAGAATTAATACGTTTGGCAGCTATACAGAGTGATGAAAAAAATTACGTATAGCTCAACAAGACTCTGAAGTTGAAGAATTAACTTCGTAATTCTGGTTTGTTCTAATGAATTGCTTGTCTAATAGACAGTTACATAATTGGTTATTGATAATTTAATGATAATTTGTTAGAAATCGATCCACACCGTCATTTTTTATTCTTGACAGATGTCATTTTTTGCCAATTTTTATCGGAATTTTAGAGTGTCAATTAAAAAACAGAATTACTAAATAATTCTTCAACTTTGAACTTTCATATTTTCCAAAATTTAATTCAGGTATTTTTTTAACAATTTTTCGGTTTCTTCTTATACGTCATTTTTTCATCACCCTGTGTAGAAACTACAAGATACAGAGTTTGATATTAACAAGACCAAACACGAAGCACATTAATTATTTAGACTAATCGCAGTTCAGTTCATTAGATATTATGTTAGTTTATGGGTTTGTTTTATTTATTAGTACATTGATGCACACATGTTGGATACAAGTAGATAATTATAATAATTATGAGATATCTTTTATGCTTTTCCTCTTTTAAGTACTATAAAATATAAACATTGATAAAATTTATCGCACTTTAGCATATCGAGACTTTTATTCTTGCCCTACTAAGTTAACCTTCCGGCGATGATCAAACTTTCTGCATACACGCAGAAACAGACGAGTTTGCTTAAAACGTTCGCTAATTTTTTCCAAATTTTTACATTTATTTATTTGTTTCAGTAATTTTTATTCCTACACGAATAATTGTCTCTTTTATCTAAGTATTTTCCTTTCAAAAATAATTAATTGGTGTTTTAGAGAAAGAGTCTGTAATAAATAAGTATTACACAAAGTTTAGGTTTTTTTTTCAGTTCTCGTTTTTCCCAATTCTGCATCAATGTTATTTTGAATATGTAACAGAAAGTCTTACTTCCTAAAATATTTACGGCGTTTATAAAGACGTTCGTTGCCACTATGTCTAGAAAAAGCGACAGGATGAGAAAAAACTCAGGAAACTTTTCACCTTGACAACCAAGTACGAATATTGTTGATTACATAAGAAAAAAAAAGTTATTTCTATTTTACTCTTTAACTGTTAAAATTGTCTGGCTAAATACGCTGTCTAGACATGCATTTCCCACTGGTCACACGAAATTAACTCTAAATAACGACCGACTTAAAAAAAACGCCTCTAGGTATTTGTTGATCGTCTTTTGTCTCTAAAACGTGTGTCTGTATTTAGATTGGCAGGATATGTCAAAAAACTTAAATTATTACAAAGTGATCTGATGACAACGTGATTCAAACTTGGACCCACACACAAACTGAACGAAACACGGAAATCCAAACGACAGATGTGACAGATGACAATGAACCAGTACACATTTGGTGATTCTCTGCGACCTACGTTCCCGAAAAAAAGACGATCAAGGGTTTTCTAATCGCTCATTATTATTTAGTATTATGAGCTCATTCGTCTTGTAGTCGGTACAGTAAATTAGTGTATACTCAGAACATTATTTTTGTACTGACTAAAATTTTATAATCTGACAAGAATTTGAATGGCAACAGAAAGAACTGAGGCCCACAGAAGAGAAATGACAGAAAATTATTTACAAGGTAGAATAATATGTATATTCATCCTCAGTTTTTTTTTTAATTCTTATATACATATAGGTACTCATACGAGTTTTTTATTTTTAACAGCAAACTGAAATTTAGAAAATAGGTCCTTGGCACAATAAGATTCTGTCTGCTACTGTCATAATATCATTTCGGATATTTTACAAAATTATTACTGTCTTGTAACTTCACAAAACCCACATTCTGGGTATGCAGCAATTTAATAATAACAAAAGTTTGCTAACAAACAGTGGACACTTTTAACACCCAAAATATAGAAACACATTTTTCTTGTTGACAAAATCATATGGGTATATTAGTCAAAATCCTATATGTCTAGAACGTCTTCAACAGTAATTAATTGCGGTAGCTTTTTTAGGTGTTAAGAACGTTTAATATCAAGTTTCTAAAAACTTGTTGCATCGTTTGAATTTCAATAACAGTGTTTTGATGAACGTCACTTTCGCCACAAAAATATTGAAAATTAATAATGAGCGACAACATATTATATACACAGAACAACATTTTAAATAAACATATACATCATCAACTAAACGAGGCATCAATTCACACTGATGTTGTTTATGCAATCAGACATAAAAGGTTAACAAGCCACCAAGGGTAGCAGTCAGTGCGGCGGGAATGACGATTCACTTTTCATTATGGGACAACATTAAGTTAAAGCGCTTACCAAACAATAACAACTTTTACTAATTGAGTCAGTTTTCATAGTCCGCTCCCACTTTTTCCGTTCGTTTTTCCATTCTAAATATAATTTTCTAAATTAAATTATTTTATGTGTAACTGGTGGGATTAACCCTTGTGACTGTGCAGACGATACTCGAGTTTTATTAATATCAACCTTAAAATAAACTTACAACAGTGAATTTTGGATGAGGTTAAGTTATTGCGTTTAATTGCTTCAAAGGCGTAATTCTAGGATGCCGAAAAACCAATCTTGACACAAAATGCAAAAGTGATTTTTTTTCCGAAATTGGACCAAGGCTTCCGACTTTTGTTTGTTTAGTTTTGAGGTTGAAACGTGTCCTCTGATTCCACTTTGAACCCTATTACGTAAAGATCATCTTTATCATAATTGCCAACAAAACGTAATAAAAATCGAACTGTGTGGTCTCATCTTTGTACAGAATCCGGAACTAATCTCCCATAAACCAAATTAAACTTACACTAACCTTTGCTGACTCCGCTGTTCACATAAAATTTATTTCCTTGGCACATAGCGCAACGAAAACATAAATAAATTTTCAGGTACAATTTATGTAGCAATACAAAATTTACTGTGATTGCACTTTTTTAACTCCGTCCAATTTTTGTTTCAGGTACTGTGAACGCAAACGGCGAAACGAAAAGACAAAGAACGTCGTACACACGTTATCAAACTTTAGAATTAGAAAAAGAATTCCACTTCAATCGGTACCTGACGAGGAGAAGACGAATAGAGATAGCACATGCCTTATGTCTGACCGAACGTCAAATCAAAATTTGGTTCCAAAATCGACGGATGAAGTGGAAAAAAGAACATAAGATGGCCAGTATGAATATCGTTCCTTATCACATGTCTCCTTACGGACACCCTTATCAGTTTGACTTGCATCCTAGCCAATTTGCCCATCTCGCTACTTAGGAAGTTTACTTGTGATTCCATTTTATAGGTATTTTGTTTATTTATTTTTAGTTGCTTATTCTGTTTGTTTTTGATTTACTTTTAACGAAACAAATTCGGAATTACACAGGGACCGTGTGTACTATTATTATTGTTGTTGTATTATATGTGATAAAATTGTAGATGAGTGTGGAGCTGCTCTTAGTTGCTTTATTAGGGATGAAGTCGGCCCAAGAATTTTTAGATATTTTTTCTTCTTTCATTTTATGAAATTAATGTCTATGTAATTTTTCTAATTTTCATTAAAAAGTCTTGAGACTTTTGTCTTCATTCAAGTCACTTCTTATCTAAAGAAAATGTTCTTTCTTATAAACGTTGCTTGTACTTTTAAATAAAAAGTTGTCCAGTACTAAAACAAAACTAAGTACTCATCGAAAAAACGAGTTCTTGTTGAAAGTTACACAAGACAGGACAACAAATTCTTGGTTTGTGATAGAAATACAAGTTTAAATTTGTCCTGTTATATATATTGCAGTGATTACACTAAGAAATTCTTATTGGTTCGTTTTTCAACGATTTTCAATTTTGCAAAGAAGTTCCATGCAGTTCCAAAATAGGTACAGTTCTTTTTAGAAAGTTATATATTAAAGAGTAAAAATAATATATTTTGCCCCAAATAAATGGATGTGTAAATTAATAAACAAACTTGTCCAGCTGTCAAAAAAAAATGTACCTATATATACAATAAATGAAGCATTTTCTTATTTTTCTAAGTTGAGAATTTGTTTCACGAGTGAAAATTGAAAGAATGGAGATTTTATCCTGCAACGTACATGTAGGCCTTTAGCCTATATTAAAATTATCGTTAATGAAATTCGTTTAGTGATCTGGATTTGTTTTGTCTCGGTAAATGTCTCATCCAAATTTTTTTGCCTCATATGCAAAAAAACCCTCGTGGATTCGATACATAAAAATTATTAACATTTTTATTAACAAATGTATAGAATTTTAGGTCTTCAAAGACTGAACACAAACTCAGATATGTAAATCATTCCAAGGTATTTGTCGTCGATTTTTCTCTCTTCAATAGATTTTTTGCAAGTAGGTATTATTAAGTATTTTGTGATCCATTTATGCATAAATTTAGCAATATGTGATTTTAGGCTTCTTCATTTTTGGCGCTGAGGTTATGTATTTTTTCTCCATTACAGGTTTATTAGTCTTGTTCAGATGTAAGTTTACGTTTAAGTACAGCATCTAAAAATCTTAACATTTCTTGCAAACCAAAGATTAATGAAAAGAAGTTTCATTCAAAAAATTTTCGTTGTATTTTTAATTGTTGGTATATGGCATATTTTTTCATGTTGCTCATAATATCAGAAGATTAAATCTTATCTGATGTACAGAATTTTTATTCAACAAATACTAAAGCTAAAAAAGTGTGTACCTACATACATGTATTACAAAATTACAAGGTTCCAGTTACAATTTTTAAGTGATATTTCACAATCCTGAAAACAATATTTTGATCATTTGCCATGTCTTTAAACTAGCATTTGCATACCCATGTTGCTTTTTCCCTTCATGAAAAATAGAAGCAAGACCGCACCGACAATATATAGAATTGGAGATTTGTATAAATATTGTCAATATTATTAATTTTAATTCTAGTCTCTACGATCTTTAATTTAAGAGATCGGTACTTTATAGTTACTTTTGTCACACATTCTATTTAAATTAGTTTTAATTTAATAAGATCAACATCCAAAAGTGTATGCACCAATTCAAAATATATACAGACTATTTCGAAAAAAGAATAATATTTATCTTGTCTTTAAAACTTTTCTACACTAACTGCAATGTAAATAGTTATTACGCTACAACTTTGACTTTGTTACAAAGATAAAGTGCATTTTAAATGTGAATACCAAAAAAAAAAAATATATTGAAAGGCGATTGGAACAATTGATTTATGAATTTCAAATATCGGGATATTTTAATTTTTAAAAGTTATACAGATGTTCACAATTACGTGGTCGACCGTGAACTTTTTAAAAGTCCGAGTTCTTCTTGTCCCGACTTTACCCCACACAATAAAGTCGTTATGCACTCGCCCATCGCTTGAGTTAGTTTCCCATAATTATAATGTCTAGCGTTCGATTTAGCCTAATAGATCGCCACACCCCCAGCCAAAGTAGATATATCTTGCACATCTGTAACTATAGATAACGTGAATCTCCATCTCCATAACTTGTGGATGCAGAGGCAGTTCTCATACACTGCTTTAATGTTCCAGATTTCCACCTGGCGTCCCTCCAGGACGAAGGCTACGCATTCCACCAAGCCATGGGGATGGGAGGCATGGGCCCTATGCAGCGCGGTCTATATGCTTGCGGCAGCCCCTACAGCTAGCCCTGGGCCTCCTACAACGGAGACTGCGGCCCTTCGTAGGGCCACATCGGATCTAAGGGCGGTCTCCGGCCCGCGACACTACGGCGGATCGCGATTTCAGACCGAAACGTCGGCACGTGTCGGGGTTCACACTTATTCCTTGTGCCAATAGACGTTCAGATGCGGTATTGGTGGTGTCACTACTTAAGTATAGTTCGTTCGTTTGGGGGTACACGTAGTATAGGTCGTTTTGGGAGATGTACCTCGCAGATGAGGGACGAAAAGGGGCGTGTCACGAATTTTCGAAAAATCGTGTGAGGGATTGAGATTCTGTTGAAATTTGGCTGGTGCAAGGTGTATGCTAAGATAATAAAGTTTAAAGTTGTGTTTATAACAACTATTTCAAAAGAATTGTGACAAGTTACACTTAGGCGGCAGAATATTGACAGTTACTGATAATAAAACAAACTCTAAAAAACTATATATTGTATGCTGGATAATACCATATTTTGTTTTAAAGCAACAATAATTGTTACAATTTTTTCGATGTTTTATACATGGCTCTGAAAAGATTACTGCTAATGTTTTGTTAAAAAATAACGAATTCTTAATGAAATAACTCTTTAACGATTGTGCACTTGACTTTTTTTGCCAATGGAACTTAATTTGTAGGTACTATTTTTTTTAATTTATTGAAAGTGTCGAAATTATAGGAAGTTTGCAACAAAAAACAATACAGCAGAATAAATAAAATGCTTTACTTTTTTTCTGTTCGAATTTATCTTTATCTTTCCCGCAATGTGTATACACTTAAATTTGTTACTTAAAATGTTCCTTAATCTAAGTTTACTTGTTTAAGATATTTGGGTTTGAGAAAATTATTATAATTATATTAAACCTTGTATACATATCTACAACAATTTGGTCCAAGTTCTTTTACTAGTCAAAATTTTTCCGTCGCTTACCTATAGTAATGCGAAAAAAGACAGTTTTCTCTCTGGCTTGTATGTAACAGGGGAAGGTAGACTTACAAATGTAAAATGTGATAAAAAAAATTAGTTGTGGCTTTTTTAGTAGCTTTCGAAATATGACGTCACATAAGACTGGCTGAAATAAGATAAAACATATGAGATCCAACTACTTTTCTGTATGTTAGGTATATGTTGTTAATGTATTTTCACTCAATTTTAATTTTTTGCGTTAATGATTTTAAAATCATACTTTATACCTATAGGTATACATGTTTGTGGAAAAATATAAACTGAACTTATTTATTATTTAATAGAATAGAGCATTTTTTGAAAAAAGTGTTGAGAGTGTCATTCAAAAAGCCCAAAAATATGTAATTGCGTTTAAAAACGATGCATATGTAATAGTTCAAAAATTATTGACCTCTCAAATAAATACACAACTATTTATAAGGCACAAGTAACTAGTTTTATAATTACAATGGTTTTAATATTTCCTAAATTAACATAAACCTAATGTCGAAACATCGGGGCTTTTTTTAAAAAGTTATAGTTTTAAAAATGTAGCTATTTTAGTCGTATGTCTCGATCGGTAGACACTAACGACGTTTATAAAAATTAAGAGGAGTTATATATTTGAGTTTAGAAGTTATCTTTACAAACATTTGATCTGCAAAATTTCAAGGAAATCTCAATTTTAGGCACGGTACAATTTTCCGAGAATTGATGGACGACCCAATAGGCTTGTACTTACCGAGTTTCTGGGAAAATTTTGGTTTTGTTTTGGACTAGACGTGCAATATTGTTAAATTTTGTTGTTTTGGAGCGTTGATTTTGTTTTGGAAAATGGAACTTGTAAGATATATCTAGAATTTTGTATTGAGAATTGTGAAAAGACACTGTGCTCACTAAAGTATAGTTTTAAAAGAAAGTGTGATTAAATTAGGCTAGGTATTAGTGTACATATTACAGCATGATAAAAATTTCACCTTTTGTAAATACTGTCACGACTTGAAATAAATTATTCTTAAGTTATGTGCTGTATGAATGGTTTTAGAGTAAATTGTAAATATAATATGTAAAACACTTATGTATAGCGTACCTCAAGCGTACAGTTCTTCACTTCAGGCTTGATAATGTGATCAAGTTAAAAACTGTTTGGTTTCTCGAAAACATACATAACTCGTATTGAGGATAAGTGTAAAGTTGTATTATATTGTGTACATTTTAGCTCAATATTGTTTCTTTCTTTTTTAGTTTATTTATGTATTTGTACTTGTGTGTGTGAAAGATGTACAATTTAGATTGTACAAGATCCTAATATTTACTGTTGTAATTGTCCACTCTGAATAAACAATTATTAAAACAAACGTTTCATGATGTTTACGCACTTGTTCGTACCTACTTTTTCATTCTGATAACATAAATATTATGACAGAAACATGAGTGATAAAACATATCATTTAACCGCACTTTATTTGCCAACAGTGTATTTTTATTACAACGAAAAAAAGACAAGTGTCATTCAACACAAACAAAGAAACTCAGCATGAATGAATATCCTTTTGTTTTGTTGACTAAGAAGATAAAAAGTGATTGTCTTACCACAAAAGAGCATAAATTGTATTCATGGAGATAGATACTTGCAAATGCAAATTTTGTATTCACATGGTGAATGCATCAACGGTTGGTGGTCAAGCATCAAAATAAACTCTTCAGTGTCAATCTTGACTCATTCAGTGGAGACGTTTATGCTACGATTTCTGTTCGAATTAACATATTCTGCTTTGGTTTTACATACAAAAACATGTTCAGTGCAGTCGTTCCTGAATGCATACAAGTAGTTTTGCTATCATGTCCATGTCAGGAATTTAAAACTGTCGAAGAAAAACTCTTGTCTGTATGTTTGCATGTTTATTATATTCACACATTTAAATAAGTTTCTGGGTGTATAACCTCAAAGAATCCTACACTGTGTTTCTGAAGAGTAGAACATCTGTTTCTATTAAAAAGCAAACCTCACAAATTACAGATTTCTTTGCAGTTGTTACAGTGAACAAAACCTGGAAATTTGTGTAGAAATTTGGAAAAAAAAAAAGAAATATGTGGTGGCTTTAATAAGTAATTATTACAAATAGTTTTACATAATTTTCGTAAATGTAATTTGTTAGTATCGCTAACTAGTTTTCTAAATTAGAAATACTTCCGCTATTTCTGTAAAGATGGCTTCATGAATTGAGTGCAACAGGTTTCGTGTAGACCCAAACAATTTGACCACACGCTCGTAAGATGGCAGCAATAAGACAATTTACTATCAAACGAATATACGACAGAAACCTACATTATAACTGCCAGGTAGTAAATTGTATGGTTCATTTTCATAAAACAAAAAAGGGGAAATATCGGCAGCCATTTTTTTCAGGGCAGATATCATATTAGGTCATTTTTTAACAGATCCTTTAGAATACTTTCTAATTCAAAATTATTTCGAGAGATGTATGTAGGAAGTGTAACAGTGATAATAATAAACTACTAATGTACTGCTGGTAGCTTTTATCAGCGTTCTAAATTTAAAATGTTTACTAGTTACACCTATTGTTTTCTATTTCTTGCAATTTTTTTTCGGGACGATTTTCTCACAGAATTCGCATTACATTACCGAAACCGTTTTGAAAATTTGACTTTGAACAAGTTTAAAAAGTTATGATGTATTTTATATACAGGGTGAGCCACTAGGGCACGCTCTTCGATGTTTTATTACTATTAATGACAAGAAACAAAGTCAAAAACTAAAGGCTCTATGAGCAGCAGAAAACAAACTCATGTTCAACTATGCATTTATTCTATTTTTTTTTATTTTTTTGGAGAATTCACAAAAAAATCCTAGTAAGATTCTTTTTAATATGTCTTACAATATTTTGTGGATAAATGCACAAATTACGCGCTTTGTTGCAGTATAAATAAAATTCAGCCAACAAAACTCTCTTTTGTTTGTGTATTGTCATGGTTTTCAAGCCATGACAGATTTAATATGTAAGTTCCCGATATTTTAAAAACTGAATTAATTGTAACTTTTTTTAAAGTATTTTGGATATTTTGTAAAACTATCTATCGATAAAATCAACATATATTTTAAAAATAACCAAAATGAGATATTTTTGTGAACCTTTGCATTGTTAAAATAATCAAGAAATTGGAACAAGTTGGTAAAGCTGCAACAGAATTTTAAAAATAAACTATACTTATAAAGCCTAAGAAGAAATCAATTAATACGTAAAAATTTACATTAAACTCCGTTTAAAAAATTGTATGTTATTTCTCATAACATGTTCTGTATTGTTGAAAGTACATATTTCTAGTTTTTGCTTTACAAAGATCTGTTCAACTTTGATCTTTGATTTTTTTTTTATATCTTGAATAATAACTGGATCTAGTGTTACGTGATATAAACATCGTAGTAATATACAAGTTAGCCCAGAAGAAACCTCGTGATTTTATCTGATAGATATCTTAGGAACGGATATAAATATTGAAATTCTGTAAACGCCATTGTTTTTAACGTGAAGAAGGAAGCTTAGTTGGACAGTGGACAAATAATGAATATCCAGTTTTTAAAAACTTTATTATAAACCTAAATTCTTCTTTAAATAAAATACACTATGAGACAAAAAACCCGGACCTGTAATTGGTCGAGCTTTTGTAAAAATATTCCAAAAAGCAAAACATTAATGTATTCGTTAACAGAAAACATAACTTTATTCTAAAACACGCGGAAACTGAAAAAAGTAACAAAAATTAAAACACTGAACGTTAGCATAAAATAACAATATAAAAATTAGTACAATCTTCAGATATTCTACACTGATAATCAGAGACAGAAAACTTAACCTAGTTGTTTCTGCAATCAAAATGTTAAATTATAGTTAAACATCTAAACAGAGAGCATCACATGTTAAAATAAGTACATGTCGGACAGAATATTTACTGTCAAAAAAAAGAACATGTCCGGGTAAAACCGTGCGTTTTGTAGAATTACATTAACCAAAATTGGTTAAATAAACATTATTTTGTTTTCCTCTGTTTTTTAAAACTAGTTACACAGCATATATCCCAAATAAAATTGTACATGAGTCAATAATATTTCTGATGTTGTGGAAACACAGTTACGTTGTAGTGTTTAGTGTTACATTAGATACACATATTAAAATTGGTATTCACCTATCACTGCGAAAGAACTTTAAATTTGCACTAAATATTGTTTTAACTTTTAAAATGTGAACGCATATTTACAAAATAAGTACATATTTGTTGAACTAATTTCACCCTTCTAATTACATTGTTTTAAAGTCAAAGTGTCTTGTCTTTGTTAAACAACGAAAGCACTACCGTCTGCACAGAGAACGGAACATGTTATAATATTGACAGTCCTCAGAAAGGCTACAAGTATGATCCTAAAGAATTTGATCGTAGCACTTTCTGTTTCACTAGAAATTTACGACGACTTTTGAGTGAGATTTTTTCTACTCGGGATCCATAAATTACGGACGATTGGGAGTGGTGCAGACGCTAGTCTTACTCACCACTCCTTTCATTTCACTTTCGTATAAGGCGGGGGAAAGGCGCGAAGCGAGCAATGACATGAATATTAAAAAAAATGCTAATTTATTGCTACAAAAGCTTCCTCACCTCTGAGGTGAGGAAGCTTTTGTAGCAAGCTCAATGAAGATTTATTTAATTTTTGTCTTTAATTTTTGGAGAACATGAGGAAAAATAAATTTTAGCGTTTCCTGAAAAGTCAAAAATAAATTCCTTAGTAATAATTTTTTAAGCAAGCTAAATTCAATCTTCAACCTAATATTTTTCGGACAGCCCGTATCTGCGCCTATGAATAATAATTATTATACGACAGTTTTTGGTGAAAAATGTTGGTTGTGCTTGATATTTAAAATTGCAAAGTAAACTGTTCGTTAGTTTCCAAGAAAGCCTATTTAATAATTTTCTATTGACATACAATGATGAAATCACAAAAGAAGACAAAAAAAAATTTGATTTAACACCTGTCAACAAAACTCTATACTTTTCTTGGCTATTATTCAAAAAGTAAAACATTTTACGGATTATGCTGGTCGAATACACGGGCTAGAAATCGAATTTAATGCTCACTAGAGAAGTAAGAAGTAAGTACATAAAAATACAGCAATGAAAATTTTAAGGCAGCTAGAATGCTGAAGTATATTTGTATATATGTCACAGGCTCGTCCTGTAAGCAGGGTATAATATACTTTAAAATTCAAAAAATGTATTAAGCTCATTGCTATGATATAAACTTATACATTTTTGTTTTGTACCAACATGTTTTAGCATGAATAAGCTAAAAAATATGTGTCGTGTATTATATGGAGTATACCTATCTCAGAGCAAATTTGAAAATTTATGGTTCATTTTGTAAGAATAACGGCTCCGTTAATGTATCGCGTGATCAGTTGAAAAAATCATTAAGTTAGTCTTAAATTTTACTTCGTTGGCGTAAGCTAAGAAAGTATTGTAATTTGTAAAATAGGGTCCATTGGACGAATAGCCACTTTTAGGTTTTCTTGACGTTTCATCACCCACTGAGCACGAAAAAAGTGGTCTCCCGTTTCCATCTGTCTGTAATGTGTCTATCTGTCTGTCTGTCTGTCTGTCTATCTGCCTGTCTGCCGTCTGTGTAGATTTTTATTAGGCAGATAATCTCCGAAACTACTAGACCGATTGTTGTCAAATTTTGCATGTATATTAGGAATGTAGGTGGCAAAACGGTAACCAAAATTTGTATAATCATTCCCACCACTAATGGGATGACGTCAACAACTAGCAATTTAGCTTTGAAACTGCACAACCAAGTGCTCTGAAATCTTCCAAACGTTTGCATGTTATCGTAATTACAGAAAATCGTAATAATAATATCGTATTAATCAAAATTTATTCGTATATACCCTCCCAAAAATTGAATGACGTCATATCAAAATTTTGCCGAATAAATCCTCTCTGCATATGCAAGACACTATAATCTATATTTGTGGTGCACTATACCTATATAATGTTCATGATGTCGTCACAACATATTATGATGGAAAAACTCACATGAAACAAATGCGTAGCACGTTTCTTTACCTTTACTTTAACATTACATACTTACATATCTTTATTTTAACTTATAAAGGTTCTCATAAAAAAATAAAATTCGCAAAATCGTTAATTATAATTTTTCAAATAACCTGGATTTGTTGTATTGTAGGGCTTCAGGGGCGAGGGAAGTTCTCTTGAAATAACGTTTGACCAGTTTTTTTGAACATTGTCAAGCATGTCTGTAATAAACTTAAAATTTAATCGTTGATACCTGATAACGCAAAATGATACAGCCTAACGTAGCTTTACGCTATGATAAAATGAACGCTTTTCACCAATTTTACCAAATCTCAATTATATACAACAGTATGGATTAATAAAACACAGCGTTTTCCGTTATATTTTATTCTACTAAAGAAACAACTAAACTAGTAAATTTTTCTAAAATTTTCAGTAGTTTTATAACAAAAATTGAACAACAATACAGGAAACAGTTCACTGCGAGAAAAGAAATATACGAAAAACTAAGTCTAAAATTATTTAGATACATACCTATCAACATACAAGTACTGAAACAGAACGCAGTGCTGCGTTTCCAGAATTTTGAGTTTAGATAGGCATACAGTTTTTGATTTATCTAATCAATAAAGCTAATTAATTCATGTGTTTTTTTAACATTTTGTAGTTTCAACAAGAAAAATGTAGGTATTATTAAAGCACCAACAAGCATAGTTATGGACAAACACGAAAAAAAAAAATAATGGGGGTATAAACGGATAAATTTTAATTAACTATGTACCATGCTTACGAGATAACTTTAAAACGTTTTTTTTTTACGACAGAAGATTCGCAGTTTCAATGTTAAATTGTAAAATATTGATACACAATTTTGATTTTTTTTATATATATATAAACCACAAGTGTAGGAATATCTTATTTTACAAAATTTAAATCACATTTACAATGCACATTTTGAGGTGACGTCATTAGATTATTGGGGATAACTAGACCAATTTTGGTTACTATTTTATCATCTAATCGATATTCCTAAAATGCATATAAAATTTGACGATAATTGGTCGCAGAGATTATCGACACGGACGCCAAACAGGCAGATAGACGACCGGCGACAAACGACAGACACATGAGAGACCGATTATATCGTACGTCGAGAAAACATGAAAGTAGGCATTCACCGTATAGACTCTATTAGATACAATACTTCCTCAGCTTATGATCGGGAAATAAAAAAGAACCGTTCTATAGATTTTACGATAAACCATAAAATTTGTTTTTATATAATTTATTTTTTACCATATCGCGTAAATGTAATAATGTCAGCAAATTTGTGGAAGGGACGAACGCTTTAATTCTGACTAACATTTATAATGTTCATAACTTTAAATTGTGCAGAAATTTTCAAAATCTTATAAAGTTTTGAACCTATACATCTGTATAATAAAATCGTTAATAGACAGATGACAGACAGACGAAAACGGAAGACCAACTTTTTCATGTTATAGATGCTATAAACCGTCCCCAAAGAGACCCTATTACACAAACCTCATTTGACATACACCTGTTAAAACTTTTATGACTTTAGCGGCTTAAGCCAAAGCACCCTTAGAAGTCAAACTGGCCATTGTAAGGTTTGTGGACCCGAACCGCAAGATTATTACTGTCCATTGTTGGCATTATGTAGCTGTGAACTGAGTTAAGTAATACAATAGTCAATTTGACTTATAAGGGTGCTTTGGCTTAAGCCTCTTAAGTCATAAAAGTTTTAACAGATGCATGTCAAATGAGGTTACTTTGCAATACTTCCTTAACTTACGTTTGAAAAGTAAAAGTAGGAAAATGTGTACCAGATATATAATGACTAATAAACCACCAAACCATCTCATTCTTACCATTCAAATAATTTTTCAGACATTTCGGAAATAAACTATGTATTATGTTATAGAAACACATGATTAGGTTGATTATCTGATTAGATAAGTTAATATTGTTACATGGAGTTCCATTTACTTTAATCTGTTGTTGTATATCTATCCATAAGGCACATTTTCATGATCATATAAGTATTAAATATCTAAAAATAGTGCTGTCTTTTTTGATTTGGATTTTACTTCCTTCACGAGAGATTTCAACCTTCATTCGTCTCGTAAACATGTTTTAAAAGTTTCATATGTAAAAACAGTCTTAAATCAGAAACATATTCTGTAATCGCCATAAAAAAAAACATTCCACAAAATTAATGACTATCTTGCAAAGGTATTTTACAAATTTCGCAAGCTTGTAACGGGAACAACTTCTAGATAAATATTCTCTTGTCCACAATCCACCTTGAATATTGTTGTAGATAACACGAAGTCAAGGTCAGACACGCACATGTCTACCATAAGTATTCCCACTGATACAATTACTTACAAGAAATGCAAATAAAATTAACGGTATAATGTAACAATAATTTTAGATCCATTTCACCAATCATTTCAAAAGCGCAACTAATAACTTTGTAGCTGCGTTCATAAAAGCAGTCACGCAGATCATCATCGTTGTTCTAGATTATCATAATGATCACCGATCACAATTTGTCAGTCAGCCCCAAAACTAGACGAAATTATTTTCGTTTTTGACGACTTTCGCTATCGATATAGAGGGATATTTTCACAAATGTGAAAACTATACCGGTCCTGCCCTCGACTCCATTCTAGCATTCTTTGTTAGCACTTAACAAAAGAACGATTAGAATAGGTCCATGACGTCACTAGACCCTCATGCAGCTGTCAGTAAAGTGATCCCGGTCCAGAAGCTGTCAAGGGAATCAAAATCATCACCGCCTTTTTTATAATGGCCGTCTTCGGGCCCCTCTCTCGGCGGAAGCCAAACATTAAAAACATTCTTTTAATACAACAATAAAAATACAAGAATAGACGTTTGCAGAAGACACAATTATATTTAGAATTCCGTTTTTGCGAGTAAATTTAGAACGGGATTCTGCCGAGAGCCTCTTTCGAAAATAAGAGAAAATCGTTGCGAGAGGGATTTTATTCAGCCCCTAGGGTTTCAGAACTCGGTAAGGTTTATGACCCAATATTAACTGTCTCCAATAATAATTTATGTTAATGGCTTTCGGGCCGGCAGCAAGCTACCAGGGAACTGAGACCGCGACAGTTGGTACTGAAACGCAGTGAAAAGTGGAAGTGTCGTGCTCAGTTTGCGCCACCAAAAGGGCACACTTTGAATTTTATCCAACTCAGAGCCAACATCATGGTAAGAGATATAGCTCTATCGGTCCATGAAGTAACAACTAAATAAATCACGCCGAAGATGAATATATTAAAATATATTACGGCGAAAAAAACGACGCACGAATTTTGATATAAAATCTTGGACCCCCGAACATATTCTCCTCATTATTTTTCACTTGATAATTTTAATTAATTCCATTAAAACATATGTTGCTTTGATGCATTCCACGCGATGAAATTTTTAATTAAAAACCAGGGGTGAATATATTCACCAGCCGGTAGCTTAACGGTGAATTAAGTACAGATTACGGGGTAAAGCTCTAAAGCTCACGAAGCACAAAACTCAGACTTTTTGTTAAAATAAAGTTTATAAATCGATTGGCGCCATCTAAGCAATGTTTATGTGTGTAAAAACGCGCGCATGAGCCATTTTGCGCATGACCAGAATTTTGCTACTCTAATCAATACGAAAAATTAGCATATCCGTTAAATAATTCTTCACTTAATTAAAGCAATAAAGCCTAAAAATTTGGTCGCTACTAAATACCGCCATGGTTTATTAGCACGGATATTTTATTCATTTTCGTTTTAACTGTAATGAAATTAGAAGAATTTTGATCGCGTTTCTGTTTTCTTTCTGCATTTGCTTCGCTAAGAATTAATTGCAAAATAACAATTGTGGGTGGCGACAAATACTCTAGATTAATAGTATTGCCAAATGCCACGACTGTGAGGTCAGTTTTATTCTGGTTTTGTGGGAGTTAGTTGAAAACGGTGACATCCTTGGCATGAATTAACAAGAGTTCTGTTGTTTCTGCCAATTTACCGGGTTCCGATTACGATTCTTTAATTGGGTGATTCTCCTCAAATTTAAGTTGCGACTACGAATAACAAAATATAGAAATATTTTTCCTTTTTCAGTAAAAAAAAATTTCATAAAAATTTAATAACGGATGCGGCGATATTAGTTTTCAGTTTTTGCCATCATTTGCTTATGAGTTAGTAACTCGTTTCATGACTGGAGATAATTTTGCGTTAGCTAATTCTAGGGATGGATTCTACCAACAGATGGTATTATCCCATTAACATAATTAATTCGTAACCTGTGTAGATAAGCAGAAAGAAGACTCATGTTCGCAGCAATTATTTCTAAATATATACTCATAGTCGCCTTTATCACTCACAAGATTGTAGATTAAATATTTTTGAGGATTAATTGTTATAATTTTATGATTCGGAAATTATTACTCTTCATTGAGAGGATCTTTGTAAATATTAGTTGTAATTTTAGTTATATAGCAAGGTCAAAAGGTCAACCAATCAGTGCAGTAAGTTTGACCTTGGTTGCAAAAAATATGGGCGTTTCTTAGTCAACTCGGCAAGTGTTTCTCTCAATAATGTGAAAACAAATAAAACAATAAATAAGCTGAAAGGTTAACCAGTTTGTGGGAAGGTATCGTTGACAGTTTCCGCAAAATTTCACTTATTAAGGTACATCCGATATTTCTTCTGTTTGCTTTCTTCATTAATCCGGTGATTTTCTCGTAAATCTGTCGATATTTTGTGGTACAGATGCAAATTTCTAAAATCTAGCTTCTAGACCATGCATTTATATTTAAAAAATCTTGAAAAAACAGACGAGTTATGTTTATATTTACTATTAAACGCTAAAGATAATAAATCATTAGAAAGAACACTTTCAGGCGCTTTTAATTAAGTTCGAAAATGATTAAAAATTATACTTTTGTTATTTCAGGTTTTTATATCTTAGTTATATTTTTAATTTAATTGAATTTTTATAAAAATTATCCCTGATAATGTACCGTCTATGTAAATTTTAAAACGTAATCTTACTACAGTCCTAAGTAATTAATAAAACAGTCAGTAACTTTTGCTATATTTCTGGGCTTCCAAATTGAATATTTTACAACTACGTCCATAAAATAAACATAAAATTAATAAAAGTTCTGGACTTTTTTGAAGTCACTTTAAAATTTAAAACGCTCCACATTCAAATTTTTTATAAATCAGTGTTACATGCAATAACTGACTGGTTAAGTTTAGGGTAACGTCTTTAATAATAAACCTTTTACAGTTTATGTGCACAATTTGGAAGATTCATAAAAATATTGTACACAGTAATTACTATAATGTATGTAAATAACAGTTATTAATGCTAATATCGGTTTCTATAACACTAAAAAAACCATTTTGCGTGTCTTAATGAAACTAGTATTTAAACTATTAAACATACCTACAATTAGTTTTTGCACCGCAAATTTGCCTTCAAAATATACCTAATGAAGTATCGACATATATCAAATACCAAATTTAATGATACCTATGTTGAACAATTAGGCTAATAACGTTCTTACAGTGGTAATTGCATTTACACATGGAAGTATGATTCAATTAAGCTGTGCTTAAGTGGCAAGCATATGTAAAGCTCTAAATAGAATGTTATTAGCATAACCCCACATTGTTGTATTAAATAAAAAGTCCGTTTTACATTAAAAGGTTGGGAAGGGCAGCTTCTCTATGATTCTTTTGTTTCCATGATTATTATACAAGTCACTTGGTAATGCAAAAGTGTAACACACAGGTGAAAAATAGTTTTTTTGTTACCTCTGAAATAGTCTGACACTGTACTTGTTTGTAATTTAATTTTGAAACAATTGAAAAAATAGAACTTCAAACTTAACTTTAAGTTAACCTTCTATAAAATAAAGAAACAATTTGTTAAATAACAGATATTAAAAACTGTTTGTTAACTTCGAATTTCAAGTACTAGACTAAGTTAAAAACTGTGCGTGGTCATGTGAAATAATTAAGTAGGAATGAGTCCGTAAATTTAATAATTATTTTCAAGTTAAAGAGAAAAAGTCTTATTTTGAGTGTATACTTCTGTGGATTGAAAAAATAAAGAAAATTCAACAAAATCACTAAAATAGTCAACAACTATTTAAATGGACTAATTAAAATGTTGTTTCTTTCTTCCAAGTATTATATTTTACAAGCTGAAATAAAATAAAATCATCTCTTGTTGTCAACGTTTTTGCTATTCTATTTTTGTTGTTAAGTACACGGGAGGATTAAGCGAAATTCAAAGTTCTTGATAAAAATACAGTGCGACAACGGCGCACACATATTTGGCGGGGGAGGCGGTAAATGAGCACCGCCAATCCCTTCCGCACATGCGCTGTACAGTAATTTACAGATTTAGTGTTTATTGCTACGAGTTGACTTGACAGTAATGAAAGCACAGTTGCCACGTAGTGCAACCTTGAGTATTAGTGACGTCATAAATTCGGAGACGAGAGGAATTTTTGGCGAAAAAAATCTAAAGTTTGCCTGTTTTATTTATGTTTTCCAAATCTGCACAATTTAAAGGCGAGTATAACCCATTGTATTTTTGTGTAGGTACTGAAATGGCTCGACTAAAAAATGAGATTAAAAGTTTGAGTTCAAAAAACTTTTCGTGAGTACAAACAAATTAATTTTGAATATAAAAGGTAAATGACGCAATATATATTCATGAGATTATAAGTAAGTACATATCGATACATTTTTTCTGGTATGCGTGTAAACAGTTAAAATATAAAGACTGCTGAAATAGTAGAAATAATGGTAACTGTCAAAGCATATTCTTCAATAAAACCTTTGTTACGATTTTTGAAAGAATGTAATTTACTTTCTAAGATAAATTGTAAAAGGACCAAATTTGCTTTTTTTTAATATATTCGTAATTAAACGATAACCCTGGATGAGTAAATTTTAATTTAGGTTAAAAAAATTTCAAATCATTTAGTAGCTGTAGACATTATCATTTAAATTAAATAAATCCTCCTCGAACAAATGGGACCTGATGGAAACTTGCATTTTCGTATTTCACCAGCGCGTCAGTACACTGTGCGTTACCTAAATGTGTATTGGCAGTATGCATTTTATAAAATACTGATCAATAAGTTCAGTACTTTGAAAAATACATTTTAAATCAAATGTTTTTGATGCCAAATAAAAAACCATGTTCTAGAAATGATGAAAATAAATGCGTTTTAAATACAGCACAGTTTGCAGTTGTTCGAGTTATTAAAGCTATCTTATTTTTAAAGGTCACTCTCACTATTTAAGTTTTTTTGGATATTTGGACCTACTTTATAATAACTGCGTCACTAACAAATTTACAATTGCACTAATGTCAAAGTTACGTGTATAAAAAAGCATGTTGTTGTAAATAAGTTCCATTTTACGGCAATATATTTTTATGACATCACCGTTGCAAATGTTCGCGTCCCACTTCCACATTGCTGAACCTATCTGTCTTAAATTTATCAATATAAAAGCATACTCCACCTACTCCAATACTTATAGATCCCCTCGACCACCCACTTCTGTTTTTATTAATAATTCAATAATGAACCCACTTAGTGCATGAAAAATTAACCCAACAGATCACCTACCTATTCGCGTTTTGCCGTCGTCAATGCCGCTGCAAAAGCTGTGACTAATCAAAACACAAAACTAAATACTAAAATGCTATTTTCCTGACCTATCCAAGATTTCTCGATGCATTGTTGCACGTTAACAGAATACAGATAGTGCATGGCATGACACAGCGCAATACCAGACCCGACCTGTCCTAACAGACGTTAAGATTAATGACATTGTATTCTGAATTGCTGTACTATACCGTCTTCAAGCAAATAGTACCGTAGAAATCGATCAAAACCACAGTCATTGTCCTTCAGGCTGCCAGTAACTGGGTTATTGGGCATCGGCATCAAGTGCAGCGTTTTTTCGCGGTTAAAAATGCAGTACCAGCTGGAGAAGCGCCAAATTGCTGAAAAGTAGAGCGGTCGTTAATTTTACGGACGGGGCTTAAGTTACATATGCAACTACTGGTAGCGTGAATAAGGGTGTGAAACAATAAAATTTTTATGTAAATGTAGCATGTAGTTTTATTTTAAATGTAGGACTTAAAATTATTCGAAAGTCGTTCCTACAAGCGAGGATATATCGAGT